AGTCTTCTGTACTGAATGGCATTATGAATTTTATTTTTAAAAGTTTTATTTCATTATTTTTAATAACAACCAACCAGCATGCCAAAAAAATGAAGATATCTTGTAATGAGGAAGTTTATTGTTATTTAGCCCACTATATTGATTGTCCCCATTTGACAAGTGAGAAACTGAGACTGTAAGAAGGAAGTGAGTTGCCTGCTGAGTCAACAACTTAACTGGTCCCAGAACCAAGTTTTCCCTGTTCCTAGGCCAGAGTTCTTCCTCCTCTCATCTCCCTTTCTTACTCTAGTATTTTTCTCATATCTAGTCCTATGAAGATCTGGTTCAGCGTCTGGAACCAGTTATAATGGAGCTAGAGCGACAGGAGAATGTACTGGTGATCTGTCACCAGGCTGTCATGCGATGCCTCCTGGCCTACTTCCTGGATAAAAGTTCAGGTAACACCCTCCTTACTTTTCCTGACATGGGGTGATGGATGTGATTTGAGATCCTGAAACCAACAGTTAGAAGTTTATATCTTAATGGCTAAAAGTCCAATTTACAGTGTGAGTCAGGTGTGGTGGCACAATCCTATGATCCCAGTATTTGGGAAGCTGAGGCAGGAAGGTCACAAGTTCCAGGTGATCCTAGGCTGCATAGCAAGCCCCAGGCCAGCCTAGACTATAGACCAAGACCCCATCTCAAAAAAAAAAAACAACTTCATTGTCTAAAATGAGATTAAGTTCAGATTCTTTGTTACTAACTTACTACCTTTGACGATGTACTGCAACCCTTCTGGCTTCAGTTTTCCCATCTGTAAAAGTGGGAGAATAATAGTGAAGCTCATATAAACAGTATATATAAAGAACTTAGGACAGTTCTTGTTACATCATATGGGCTAAGTGTTAGCTGCTATTATTAGTATTATTCTGAGCTAATGTTTTCAAAACCAGCATTATTAGTCTGCCTCAAGCCTAAAATGCTGAGTCAGTATTTCCCCCGAAGCATGCTGTCCTGAGGTGATAGTGGGAGCTTTTGTGGCCTCATTATCCTAATTACAGGTTTCTATCTTTGCTGTAGGGTTGACTTCCGGAAGACAGTGATGTTTCATTTCAGTTTTTTCAAATGGTCATTTAAAAAATCTACACATCTATACACTGACTACATACACTAAACTGCAAACTAGGGCAGGGAGCCTGGCAAGGAACTATTGTCTCACCTCCACATATGAATGTCCATTTTTAATGTGACTGCTGAAGTATTGCCATTTCCAGGTTATTTTGAAGGTATTTGAGGACAATGCAAAATGATATTCAATGCCTACAACATTCTGAACTCTTGAATATTCTTTATGATGCTAGTTTCAAAATAAACAGCGCTCATAATATGGAGTTATCCAGAATTGGAACCCAGGGAAATTGAGAACATGCCATTGGATAAGTCATTTTCTCCACCTTGTCTTCAGTTTCCTTATTGGGAATCAGTGATGATATAGGGTTCTTTGCACTGCCGGATTTCTGATATGTTCACATCTCTACTTCTCAGAGCAATTTTTTGAGACCATGAGGTAGGCACTGAAATTCATATTGTGCAGATGAAAAAGGCCCAGAGAAGTGAAGTGACTTACTCAAAGTAATGGGGCTCAGAATGCAAGGGATCAGAGTAGATCTGAGGTACATCCCAGCCCTCGGATATTATTCATGGAGTATGGGAAAGGCAAAGGTACCTTCCTCTTTCCCACTTTTTGCTCACTTTTAGACACAGGCCATGCTAGCTGTTCACAACTGTCCCAGGAACAAGGCAGAGGGGGATTGGGAAGATGATCTACCCTATTATTTAGGTAAATAATGGCATGAGATCCAGAGAGATGATATGAGTGGGATTGTAAACCCACCCAACTAGAGAGCTGGGGCACCCTCAGAGTACACCTAGTTCAATCCTGTCCTACAAGATAAAAGCCAGAGATGTGACACTGAGAGAAATGGCTGGGCCAGTGTTACTAATTGAGGCAGTGGCAGGGCTGTGTCAGAGATCTGTAAAAGTTGCCTTCCTTTCCCTGAGTCTCTTTCCTCATGTAGACAATGAGAGTAGACAGGACCACAGCATATCTGTGAAGATGCACTGAGATCATACACAGGAAGCCCTTGGCCTAGGCCTGATGCTGATGATGACAAAGATGAGGAGAAGCAGGAGGGATGCCTAGAAAAATACCTATGTCTTATGAGGCTGAGAGGCTGATGGCAGGACTTGAGTATAAAGAACAGAAAGCCACAAGTGATATTCTAGCTAAATTAAGGGAGATAGAGAGCTGTAATTGCAGCCTGGGAAGCGGAGAGAGGGAATAAGAAGAAAGTGTCCGGCAGGTTGGTATGTCACCCGCAGGACATTGATACCTTCATGGCAGCAGCTGCAGACTAGGGGTAGAGCAGGCATCTTGTCTTCAGAAAATGCTGTATTAGAGTCCCTGCACTGCCACTTCTTGGCTATGTGACTTTGAAACAGTGTCTTTCCTCTTGAAGTCCCAGTTTCCTCATCCATGGATTGGGCCTAATCACTCCCTCCTCTTAAGGCTACCTGTTAAATTGAAACAATGGGACTAGACAGGATATTGTACATGAATATTCAGAACAGAACAACTTTATGCATAGCAGTTAATAACTTGAAAATAGTGATTCAACCTATGCTTGTCCATGAATAAGTGAGAGATGGGTTATATAAAGCTAGCCTGGGCCAGGGACAAGGCTGTAGATGTGGTCACGTGCCATGTACACTTCTGGCATAGAACTGGCACATATAATGTTTTCAGTAAACATTTAAGAGGAAGTTTTGGGCCTTTGTGGTGGTAGCAGTAGTGATGGTGGTGGTGGTGTCTGTGGAAGACCTGGGCTGTGTTAGGAGGGAAGCCTTCCTTGGTCTCCTGTTGGACCTGAGAATAAGGAGATGACCAACTCCACATGACCTCCCTGACCCTCCCATGGACCTACAGTTTTCCCATTTTTCTCAGGACCTTTAATTCCTGCTTCTGGGTCAACCTGGCTGCTTCATTTCTCCCTGCCCAGAAAGGCAGATTTCTCCCTGCCTTTTAGCACTGTCCCTTGCAGATTACAGGATGTAGGTCTCTGGTGAGGCACACTTGGGGAAGGGGAGGTGGAAAGGAGAGTATCCTCCAAAGCTGGAAGCTGGGGAAGTTGTGCCCTTCCCAGTACTATGTCTCTGAGGGCTGTTTCTTCCTCTTTGCCAGATGAGCTGCCCTATCTTAAGTGCCCTCTGCATACAGTGCTTAAACTCACTCCTGTGGCTTATGGTGAGTACCCCCACCCTCATCTAAGGAACTACATATTGAGGCCATGAACATGCCATTTGCCCAGCCTAAGAGAGGTTCCCTGGGTAGGTGGTTGGAATCCTGGAAGTGGGACTGGTGGTAGTAGGATAACAGGGAAGAACTAGCATTGCCAGTTGCCCTGGCTCCAACTTTCTATCTCCGCCAGGGCACTGAGTACAGAACATTAAGCTGTGGAGGAGGTGGGAGCCTTGAATGAGACTGGAGGAAAACTGTAGGTTGGGACCATTGAAAAGCCCAAAGACCAATCTAGGCAGTTTAGATTCTCTCATGACATTAGTTAGCTATGAAAGGTTCATGAGCAGAGAAAGAACAGAATCAAATCTAGTCTGAGGTATAATTACAGCATAATGGCCTACTGTAGCCTGCACTGGGTACAATCCACAGGGATGGATCTAAAGGGGTTTCCATAAGCATTGGGTCTCCTCTGCCAGCCCCAGGCCCCAAAGATATACATTCTCCTTTTTAAGGCTCCTTAGAACTCCTTTGTGGCCTCCACACCTCTCATGTTGCTAGAACCATACTGTCCTCTAAATAAATTTAGCCCATGCCTCATCAGCCAAGGCAGTGGCCGAGGACTCTTCCCTCTTCTGCACCTAGCATGGCTTGGAGGATCTACAGAGCTCTATGAGTTTTAGATTAGATCACTGTCTTGCAGGCCTTGAAAGTTGAGGGAGGCCGCAGAGATCATCTCATCTCTTTCCCCATGTACAAATGAGCAGCTTAATCTCAGAGAAGTCAGGCACAGAGCTGGGAGGATACCCCACTGGCTGCTTCTTAAGCCTGGCATCTTCCCTACACATTATGCAGCTCACCTCCAATCCCCTCCCTACAGGGAAGGCAAAATCTGTGTACAATATGGAACTTGGGGTCTGTATGGTGATGGGGGTGCTGTGGGAAAGACACTTCAGGAAAGACCTGTGCTTACCTTGGGGGCTTACAGACACATGTGTTGTTGTTTTCTGAGGCTGCAAAGTGGAGTCCATCTACCTGAATGTGGAAGCTGTGAACACACACCGGGAGAAGCCTGAGGTAGGTAAGGGTCTCTGTACATAAGCTGGCTGTGAACACTTGATAAAAGCACCCTCCCCCACAGAAAGGCCACCTAACCCTACAGATCCCAGGTGTTTCACATCAGTGGGAGGAATTACCAGCATCCAGAAATTCAGGAAACACAGCCTAGGCCTGGGGGACCACAGAGGCACAGAACTAAAGAACAATCCTTGCCCAAAAGGCCTCAGGCTCAGATTCCCCCAGGCCTGACTGAGAAGTTAGGACTCAGGCTGATTAAAAGATGGGTGCCTGATAGGACAAGACCCAGCAGAGAGACTGGAGCCCTATACTTCCATCTCCTTCCTATTAATTAAGGGCTCTCTCTTCTCAGAATGTGGACATCACCCGGGAACCTGAGGAAGCCCTGGACACTGTCCCTGCCCATTACTGAGCTCTTTCTAATAATCAAAATCCCTCTGTCCTCACTGTCTTCCACCTTTATGAGCTTTTTGGCCTGTGCCTTACTGGGAAAGCCCTATCTCTGGTAAAGAAATCCATAGCAGCTCTAAGACACGTCTTTATTTTTAACCACAAATAAGAAGCTGCGTAGCTCTGGATGAAACACTTTCTTAATTCCTATTCTCTGATCAAAAGACTCTTACTGCCTATCGGAGGACAGGAGGAGGTCACATTTAGGTTTCTCCTATTGTTTTTAAGTTCCTGATCCTGATTTTGACCTAGCTCTGGTGCTGTAAATGTGGAATGGGTGAGGACTTTCTGGAGAGAAGAGTCCTAGGGTAGCACCTCTAAGGATGGGGGAGAAGATTCCTTTGCAGTTAGAGTGAACAAGGGCAGGACACCTTCATCCTTATACTCAAAACAATCTGGCACTTTTACAAAGTTCTTTTTCAACTGTTGTTGCTATCCTGAATGATTCCACTGTCTATGTGAATTACTCAGCCAACAATCTGGCCTCCCAGTCTCCTAACCTCAACTCTATAATCATCATCTCTATCACTTCACAAATCTTGGCATCATATCCCTGGTTTGACTTCTTAAATGCAAGCATCCCACTCTTACTCAAGAGTCCTTACAAAGGTAGTCATGGGACATTTCTTGAATGAACAGTATTTTTTCTTTTACATCAGGAGTGTGGTCCTTTGACGTCTTCATTGTCTCCCAATCCATCCTCTGCTTCCTCAATACTCTTCCATCCTTAACCAGTTTGGATTCTATGGTCCACCTCTTTAGCCACTCTCCATGTACCACCTATAGGTCAGGTACCAGTGACCCAGTGGTAAAAACTTACACACTTGCTGTGGTTATTCTCTTGTCCTTTCTTCACAGCTACCCAGCGAGATCCAAACCTTGAACAATCCACACCTCTTTTTGTTGGGATCTATTACAGGTTTGCCAATGAGTGCTTGAAGTAGATCTACATTGATTTCCCAGCCACTCCTAAATCCTGTTGAAAGCCAGGGTCACCCTCTATTCTGTCATCCTATCCCATCCCACCTTCTCAGACTACATCAGTCAATTCCTCACTCTTCTATATCTACCTCTTGGCCCTCTCTATTGGCTTTGGACCCATGGTCTATGCAATATGCTCAAGTCTTTCTCTCTGATCCCAAGAAAACCCTCCCTTTTTCCCATGTCCACTCCAATAACTCCCCTTATGTTCCTCTATTCTTACAAAAATTACTCAATGAATCTATACTTACTATCCAGAACTCTCTCCTTTTGCCTTCTGTCCCAGAATTTCCCAAGCTATTATGCCCTGGCCTGCTATGTGTTCCTAGCCCTCTCTTTCACAAGAAATATCTGCTTTTTAGCCTCAAGCTAGAGCCCTACATTCTCTGAAGAGCTATGTTGATCTCTAGCTGTCCTGTGAACCCAAAATGTCATTCATGACTACCTAAACACATTAAAAGACCAAAAAAAAACCTCCAATTCATTTTGCAAATTTAATGTAACTCTGATACCAAAATACAACAGCACACAAAAAGCAAACAATAGAGCAAGAACAGAAAACAGATTTTTCATAGTGTCACCCTCAGCTGATGCGCAGTGGCTGCTCAGACTTTTGTGTGGACAAAGATTGCAAGGCTGTACCTTGGCTCCGTGGGAAGGAATGCTGCAATTCACTAGTGATATCTGTAAACATTAAACCTGAAAACAAAATACCAAACCAGAACACATTTTAGCACGAAATATACTCTTTTCTCATACTTCCTTCATTGCTCATCTTCCCACTCAGCCCTCCCAACCCAGGATTACTTCTAATATCTCCCAATATTATACCCATTCCCTTGAGTGTTGGCTATGGAAATTTTGCAATTACCTGAAACCTTACTAGCTGTAAGAGAAGCCACAGGCACCAAGGCTAGTGGCCCCCCCACCAAAGCCATCACCGGTACTTGGTCCACCGCCGAATCCAGAACTGGTACTTGGTTCACCGCTGAATCCTGCACTGGTGTTCAGTCCACCACCGAAGTTAGCACTGCTGCTTGGTCCACCACTGAAGCCAATACTGGTGCTCAGTCCAACACCAAAGCCAGCTCCAGGGCTTGATCCAGCAAAGCTAGCTCCAGTGCTCAGTCCACCACCATAGCCACCAGTGCTTGGTTCACTGCAGAAGCCGGCACCAGTGCTTGGTCCACCACTGAAGCCAACAATAGAACTTGGTCCACTACTGAAGCTGGTGCCAGTGCTGGGTTCGCCAGGAAAGCCAGTGCTGGTGTTGGAACCACTGCCAAAGCCAATGATGGAACTCAGTCCTCTGTCGAAGCTGGCATTAGGCCCACTGCCAAAGCCATCGCTGGTGCTGAGGCTACCACTAAAGCCTGAACAAGTGCCAAGTGTGCTGCCAAAAGCAGCACTGGTACCCAGTCCACCACCAAAGCCATCAGTAGTGACCAGTCCACCACCAAAGCCAGTGCTGGTGCCTAGTCCACCACCGAAGCCAGCACCGGTGCCTAGTCTGCCACCAAAGCCAGCAACGGTGCCTAGTCCACCACCAAAGTCAGCATTGGTACCTAGTCCACCACCGAAGCCAGCACTGGTACTTAGTCCACCACCGAAGCCAGCGCTGGTGCTTAGTCCGCCACTGAAGTCAGTGCTGGTGCCTAGGCCACTGTCAAAGCTAGTGCTGGTTCCTAGGCTGCCACCGAAGCCAGTGCTAGTGCTTAGGCTGCCACCAAAGCCAGCACTGGTGCTCAGTCCCCCTCCAAATCCAGCACTGGTGCTTAACCCATTGCCAAAACTGAAACCGGCACTAGTGCTCGGTCCATCACTAAAACTGGCACTGGTAGCACCACTGAAGCAGGCACTGGTGCTAGGAGAGCCACCAAAGCATAAGTTTGTGTTAGATGCACTGCCGAAGCAGAGGCCAGTGCTGGGAGCTCCACCAAAACACAGGCTGGTGCTGTGGGCACCATCAAAGCTGACACTGGTGCTGGGAGCACTATCAAAGCCAATGTTGCTGCTGGGAGTACCACCAAAATTAGTAGTGATACTAAGTGCCCCACTGAAGCCAGCACTGGTGCTGAATGCACTGCCAAAGCCAGGGTTGGTGCTTGGTGCGCCACTGAAGCCAGCAGTGGTGCTAATAGCTCCACCATAGCCAGCACTGGTGTTGAGCACTCCATCAAAGCTGGCACTAGTGTTGTGAGCATTGCCAAAGCCAGCACTGGTACTAAGTGTACTGCCAAAGCCAGAACTGCTGTTGAGTGCACCACCAAAGCTGGCACTAGTGCTAATGACACTGCCAAAGCTAGCACTGCTATTGAGTGCACTGCCAAACCCAGTACAAGTACTGACAGCACCATCAAAGCCAGCACTGGTGTTGATGGCACTGCTAAATCCAGCACTGCTACTGAATGCACCACTAAAGCTGGCACCAGTGCTAATGGCACTGCCAAAGCCAGCACTGCTGTTGAGTGTACTGCCAAAGCTGGCACTGGTGTTGACAGCATCACCAAAGCCAACACTGGTGCTGATTGCACCACCAAAGCCAGCACTGCTATTTAGTGCACCATCGAAGTTGGCACTAGTGCTGGGAGAGCCACCAAAGCAGACACTGGTGCTAAGTGTGCCTCCAAAGTCAGAACTGGTACTAGAAGAGCCACCAAAGGAGACACTGGTGCTAAGTATGCTGGTGCTCGCACAGCCAAAACCAATGCTGGTGCTAGGACAGCCACCAAAGCAGATACTAGTACTGAGTGTGCCTCCAAAACTGGAACCAGATATAGGAGAGCCACCAAAGCAGACACTGGTGCTAAGTGTACCTCCAAAGCCAGTGCTGGTGTTAAGTGCACCACTGAAGACAGTGCTTGTGGTGGATGCACTGCCAAAGCTAGTGCTGCTGCTAAGTGCACCACTGAAGCCAGTTGTTATGCTGTTGAGTGTGCCTCCAAAGCTAGAGCTGGCTCCAGCACTGAAACTGGCACTGGTACAAGGTGTACCACCAAAACTAATGCTCGCTCCACCGCTGAAACTAGTGCTGGAGTTCGGTGCACCATCAAAGCTAATGCTTGCTCCACCACTGAAATTAGTGCTAATGTTGGGTGCACCACCAAAGCTAATGCTAGCTCCACCACTGAAACTAGTGCTAGTGCTGGGTGTACCACCAAAGCTAATGCTGGCTGTACTGCTGAAACTGGTGCTAGTGCTGGGTGCACCATCAAAGCTAATGCTGGCTCCACCACTGAAACTAGTAATAGTACTGGGTGTACCACCAAAGCTAATGCTGGCTGTGCTACAGAAACTGGCACTGGTACTGGGTGTGTCGCCAAAGTTGATACTGGCTCCACCAGTGAAACTAGTGCTAGTGTTAAGTGCACTCCCAAAACTAATGCTGGCTACACTGCTGAAGCTGGCACTGGTACTAGGTGTGCCACCGAAGCTAATGCTGGCTACACTGCTGAAGCCTGCACTAGTGCTGGGTGCATCACCAAAGGTAATACCACCTCCGCCACCAAAGCCACCACTGGAGCTGGGTGCTCCATTGAAGCTAATACTAGCACCATCACTGAAGCTATCCCTGGTGCTATCTTCTTGGTTGAAGTTGACATTGGTGGTTTCATCTGCATTTTCTTGGGTTCTAGCCTCAATTTCAAATGAAAATCTGTTCCAGGCCTGAGTGTCATCACCTAACTCTTCCCTTGTTAGGCAGTCAATATCCATGTCATCCCAGTTCCAGGGCCCAGCCACAGCTTCCTCTCCAATCCCCATTTGGGCTCTTGCCTCAGCCCTGGCCTCAGCCTCAGCCACAGCCACAGCTGCAGCTTGGACTTCCATCTCCACTGCTTCCCGATACTGAGCAGCCCAGTCCTTGGGGTCTTTCTTCTGTACCTGAATTGGAAATTATAATCATTATAAGAAAAAGAACCCTTTTAATTATGTATTATACACCTATTAATAGCACTAATTCTAAAAAAAAGTCTACTTGGGACTTTATCATAGATCAGTCCTCAGATCTAATTTCAGCTCTGGTAACTTACATGTGACTTGACCTTGGATAAGTCACTTAATGTCACTAAGCCCAAATGTCTTCATAATATGGGGGACAGGTTAGGGAAGGGAGAGAAAAGGGATGTAAAAAATAATTAAGATGTGTTATATACATGTACCAACTCCCCATGATGAATGTAATCATATGTACTGCAAACATGTAATAATAATTAAAAAGAGATAAAGTATGTTATGGCCTCTTTGTCTGTGTCTCTACGAAATTCATATGTTGAATATCCAATCCCTAATGTGACTGTATTTCGAGATAGGGCCTTTATGGAAGTAATTACAGTTAAATAAGGTCATAAGAATAAGGACTGACCCAGTAGGATTCCAGAGAGTAAGGGCTTTCTGCCCTATGATGACACAGTAAGAAGGCAGTTGTCTATAAGCCAGGAAGACAGCCTTCACCACAACCTAACATCAGAAACCTACCATGCTGGTCCTTGATCTGGGATTCTCAGCATCCAGAACTGTGAAAAAATAAATTTCTGTTTTTTAAGCCAACAAGTTTATGGTATTTTGTTATGGCAGCTTGAGATGATTAACACATTCATGATGGGGCCATAATTTGTATGTCTCACTGCTGGGCAGCTTGGACCACTGGTGGTACATGCATGACTGTTCCATTGGACAGCTTGTACCACTGGTGATAAAGGTGATACAATCATGCCTGAGACAGTCATGCATGTAACACCAGTGGTTCAAGCCAGTGGGAATATGTTAATACAAAGTGTGAAGAATGAATGATACCATGGAAACTATGTATGTACCAGCATTCTGAGACATTACTGAAGCTTCATATGTGTGCATGGTTATATGTGTGTGTGAACTACCAGTTCCCCTATACTTGTCTGTCACTGCACATAGCCTGCCTCAGCCAAGGTTATTCTATTCCTTTAATATGCCAAGTTCAGGCAGCTTTATTACCTTGCAAGCAAACTTGAGGACCTTCATTTTGCTAGTCTCATGGTAAGAGCGCAGGCCCCAGAAGAACTCATATTCAGGTGGTCGACTGTTGGGGACCCTCTTGTACTCCAAGTACCTTGGAAAAAGAAAACAAAAGTTGCTTCTGACCCAACAGATCTGTTATTTAACCACTAAGCCCCAGATGGCATCCTCCTATAAAACAAATATTAAACAGTTCCTGGAGAAATGTTTTCTAAGACCCTCCAGCCCCACACTCATTCCCCACACACAGTTCATGTTCTTGGCTTCTCAAACTGCACCATTTCCCATTGGCTCTGTGAAAAGCAGTTATTTGGAGTACATATATAGGGCATGATGTCACAGGAAGGCCAGTGTATCCTGCCACCTGTGAGGAGTAAACCCAGATTCCTCTTGGATGTGCTGTAAACAGAGGAGCCATTCATATAGCTCTCTGCTCTGAGCACACCCCCATCACAAGGGCATTATGTTTGATCTGGCC